CACGTCTTGACCCCTTCCGTTTGAGCTGTAAATAATTGATTGTGCTGTCGGGAAAGTTATTTTTGCCCTAAGGAACACGTACCCTTAGGCCTCGTTCGGCAGCTGGGGATCCAATCCAGGCCTGGAATTAGTTGATCCACTTGCTATCACTCATTCTAGGCCTTTGGTTGTCCGTCCGAGTTTCATTCTCCACATGCACCTCGTGTAATCAATCCAGGGTGAGGCTTCTATTTTCGTTGTTGCGCTTTGGCCGGGGATGAATCCCTTTGTTGTTCGCTTTGGCTGTGGATGAATAGCATGTTCACATATCCAGACATTTAACTAACACGACAAAATATGATCAAGCTTGAAACAATTCAAATTACCATGCAAAGCAAAACCCAACAGAAATTTCATGACCTGACAAACAGATGTAAGTGCTTGTCATCAACAAAAAAAATGAGATCAATGTGCAGTACCAAAGCTACAGCAGGGTATCGAAGACATGAATCCAAAACAAACATGAAGGTTGTTGAACTTGAACATAAATAATAAGCTGTAAGTCCCATTTAACCATGGTACATTGGTGCCCAACTACCGAACTACTACTAATCTACGAGAAACGGGAAGCAACTTCACAACGGTCACTCTTGTAGTGATAGACTTTTGTAACTCCCACTTGCTCCAGTAATTCAATTCCAAATGGTGCCGGAGGGATCTACAAGTAACAAGAAAAGGAATTTGTTAAGAAAAGGTATTGCTAGACAAATAGTAACAAGTGGAATAGTTCATTGCATTGCACAGCTAGATTTGGACCTGCTTTATTAATGATACTGACAAAGTCCTACAAGAGCAAGAGTGAACAGCTAGACTACGCCTACTTGCAAGGTCCAACTGCAGACATCATTTACACATACTTACCCCCTGAGATAGTGTACATAAGCATGCTTATGAGATAATTTGTGGCGACTTTTGGCATGCACATCATGATCATGTACTAAAGTACTGAACTGCTCCAGAATTCAGAAACTCACTTTGTGACCAACCACATCACAGAATTCAGAAACAAACTAAAGTACTGAACTGCTCTAGAATCAAAATAGAGAGATAAAGAACTACAAATATAGTATATCAAAATAACATGAATAATTGACGGGAACTAGCCTTGCTCTGAACTACCTTAGCTGAGAGTGAGATACTGGACCATTCGCCTCACCAGTGTGATTTGTAAAAACTCTACTGATCGGCCTATTAGTTTGGTTGACAGTTCAAGTCCTGCCCTTAAATAATCCTAGCACTAGTAGGCACACAGCTGCATATAACTCCTGCTCCTGTTATATTCATGCAACCGGCTATAGAGGTGATAATTGAGTATTTGAAATAACTTTACTGCTGCAGTCACTACTACTTCTCGGTAACTGGCTTCCATAACAGCAATGTTACCGGTCTGTTAGTAACCAAATAACAACAGAACTGAGAAGAGACAAGCATATAGCATAAACCAAGTCCACGCCTGAAATTCAAAGTTTTTATTAAGACTAACACACATGTTAGAAAAATAGAATATTCAGATGTTGCAAGTAGCAGCATAAGCTTATGCCCACCCCGTTATCCTGATAAAAAGACAGTAGGAAGGATTTCAGAGTTTTAGACTGATTTGAGCATTTCAGAGTTTTAGACTAATTTGAGCTGCTTTTGCATGCCATTTGGCAAATCAAGACATCATCTAGATAATAATATAAGTAACAAGAAACCATCTGGTGAAACTGAATAACCAACTAGCGCTGAACAAACAACACAAAAGATTCAGTAACTAAACCCACCATTATATCTGAGTAATTCTAGTGAGATCATTGAAAACCTGAGACAAGGACACTACTACATACAGGAACAGTTCTTATAGCAGTCAAAATAATACTAAGAAAACCTCATGGTGTAGCTACAATACAAACGGTCAAAATAATACTAAGAATACTGATACTAGAACAGAAGCACAGTGAACAACTTAGAAGTGCATTTTCTTAGAAACAAAGTGAGCTAATAGAAACAATCAAGACGTTCGGCTGGTCATGTCCCAGCTTGTTCCAGCTTGTTTCAGTTTATTCTCTCTCACAGAATACTATTCAATCATCCAAAATCATCCAAAACCATCCCAAACCTGACCAGCCGAGCACGTTGAATATGTTCCTGTTGCAGGTTATTTCAGTATTATTCACAAACAATGAAGCACCATCCTCATGCATTTCAATTTGTGATAGACAAACAAATGAACAAAGATACAACAACCATGGAGCTGTCATTTTTCAGAGTTGCAGTTTCCAAAATTCTTCTCATTAGTAGTTTCAGTAATCAGAACTGATACATGGTAACTTTTTGCAATACATAATAGGATTTTTTAATACAATACCAGTATTTCTAGTTCTACTACATGCTATAATCGCTGATTCCGCACGGTTCCTTTTATCGGTTACGCGCATTCGCAAAAAAGGAGCAAATCAAAATAATAAGCTTGTAATGTGAATTCTCAAAAGGAGCAGAGGTGTAGCTCCATATCTAATTGCATCGGCTGACTACCCTACTTTTCCAAGGTTTTCCAATAGTTTTCCATAAAAGTGCAGCACGCTGTTTTTTCTAACAGAACGTCACGAGCAAGCTAGCACCTCCCCACAGTAGTCCAGAAACATCAATCTGGAAGCAACAATCATAGAGAATACGGAAATGCTACAATCGACAAGAGCACAAAAAGAGACACCAGAAGTCCAGAAATACATCCCGATCGTCACTAACTAGGTATTTCACTACTAGTAACACTATTAGTACTCATGTTCAGAAACGAGATTATCAATCATCACCCATCCAAGAAACTGCAGCCTGGGGTTGCTTTAGAGCAAATGACGTCTCACAAAGATCATCAATTTGGATCTAGCCAATCAACAGGGTTCGAGGACAGTAGTGCCAAATAGACTAGTTTCAGAAGTTGGCACCTAGTAGCAGGTTCTAATTAGTGCTTGAGAAAAGAAGCTAGTAAGGTAGGAGTAGAAAATAGATACAGTATAACCGAGCTACGGCTTCCCAAAGTGCTTGGGAAAAGAAGCTAGTAAGCTCTGGCTCTCCCCTATACACTGAATATTCTCATGAACTTGGACGAAGACATGTAATTCAGTAGCAACAATTCCCAAAGCACAAGCAGTGTGGTGTGCATCGCCGTCGCTGGCCGGCCAGGAAAGCTGCGAGCTGCTTCTTATAATGGAAATACTAGCAAGGAGAAAAGGAACAAACACAAGAGGGGAAGCACTCGTAGACGTAGTGTAGCAACATGGGATTGGATATACAGAGGAAAAGGGCAAGAACCTTAGCGCCCGAGCGACGGATCGAGCGACGAATCTAGCAAGCATCTAGCGACGGATCGAGCGCAAGCAAGCAAGAACCCTAGCGCCGGGGAGAGAAGGGGGCAAGGAAGATGAGGGCGATGCGTTCCTGGAAAGAAGGCGGCGGAGAGCGCGGACGTTCGATGGGATGCGGTCGCCGTCACCGTCGCCTCGTGTAGCGCCGTCGCGTCCCCATGATGCGCCGCGCCGTCGCCTCGTGCCGCTCACGTCCGCTCGAGTCGCACCGGCTCGCGTCGCCTGGATAGGTTCCGGACCTACGAGGGTCCGTCTCGGTTCCGGGCCAAAGAGGGGGAAGAAAGGCCCGGATTGACCCATTTTTATTCCGGGCCGTATCTAACCGAACGACCAATCCTGGCCCGACCTGACTTCGAACCGGGCCATGTCAATCCGGGCGGATCAGGCCGCGTTCCGGGGCGTTCCGGGCCAAAACGAACAAGGCCTTAAGGGACAAATTTTCTACGTTTTGTGTCAAAGGATATCATGAAACTTTTTGTCAAATTCCAGGGTTTCAGAACCCGCGTTCCAAATAAAGGCACCTCAATCCTTTTTTTTTTGTAAGATCAGTGGACTGGTTCCTCCCTAGAAGTCACCTTCCCCTAGCTCTTCTCCTTTGCTAGAAAACCAAATTGCTCTGTCAGGGTTTTCTAGATCACAACATGACTTTTAGTCTGCCCCTTTCCACACAGGCTGCCAGTCAACTAGAAGTATGGTCCATTATCCAAGAAAGACAATGGGATGAGAAAGTGTCTGATGTCTGGCAATACTCTTGGGGATCAGCTCAATTTAGTAGCAAAAAAGCTTACTCCCTGCCGTTAGGGACCATGGAAGCCTCACCCCATTTTCTCTTGGTTATGGTCCTCAAGCAATTTGAGCAAACACAAGTTTTTCTTTTGGGTCCTCATTAGGGATAGACTCAATACAAGAAACCTTTTGAGAAGGAAAAACAAAGGCCCTTGATGACTATCGCATTACATCGTCTAATGTAGAGACCGAGACTTCATTTGCTTGATGATATAAACTCCCTTTATCTAAAAAATATGCTCCTGCCGGTTGTCAAGAAGAACATCTAAATGTTTTGTGCGGAGAAGAACGTCTAAATCTTGGGTTTTGACTATAATAATCTACCATATAATCCAACTTGTTTGGATCCCAATCAGATTACAGGACCTTAGGCTCAAGCGATTAGGTCTTTGCGGTTGAATTTATTGGTGCTTTAGGCTTAAGTGCATGTTTAGATCAGCTAAATGCCTATGTGTGTTTAGATAGCTAACTATCAGCCCATGTGTGTTTAGATACTTGGCTAATAGGTTCATACGTTTATAGCAATGGACTATTAGCTCTTGTGCTAAGCTAGTGCGAGCTTATTAGCTAACTTTTTCTATGACTATTTTTTATAACTAACAATTAATCTCTGGTATCATCAAACAGCCTCTTAGTTTGTGTTTGCACAAGGGAGTTCATGAGAACACAAGAAAGAAGAAACCCAAACTGAAATTAAAAACCAACAGCCCGAATTTGCATTAATAGGTACATACACGATCCCTCCTCCCCTGCTCTCAAAAGTTCTCCATGGTACACTTTTCCAAGGTCCGATCCATGACGGTCCGACGCCTAGCAGTTAGAACGAACCAATCACTCGAGCTGCGCGTACCAGATCCCCTGGATCTTGACATCCTTGGGCGCCTTGGCGCCGAGGTCGGTGTCCGACGGCTGCACGCTCTCGAAGACGCCGATGACCTCGCCGGTCTCTGGGTTGCTCTTGGTGACGCTCAACGTGATGTTGCCGGTCGACGAGGCGGCGTTCTTGATGTTCTCCTTCTGGAGCTCCTCCTCGTCGCCTCTGCCTCCGGCGGGGAGCGCGACGGCGTTGTCGTACCCGGTGGAGCCACCACGGCCCTTGGGGTCGAGGAAGGAGGAGCCACGGTAGCTGGGCACGAGGAAGGGCCCGCCGAAGCTCTCGGGCTTGCCGGTGGCGACGAGCTGCTTGACGGTGAAGAGGAACGGCACGCGCTCGCCGCCCGGGAGCTGCACGGTGACGGCGGCGTAGTCGATGCCGTCCTTCTCCTCGAACTTGAGGGTGCCGTCGGAGCCGACGTCGAGCGGGCCCTCGATCTCGTCCAGCGTGTAGGTGAGGCGGGTCATGAGCTTGGTCTTCTGAAACTCGGGCGGCGCGTTCTTGGCGATGCCCTCCGCCTTGACGGTGAAGGACGTCGGCTCCAGGCACAGCTTCTTCATCTGGTACTTGCCGACCTTGAACGGGAACGCCTCCACGCCGCCGTCGATGGTCGGGCACTGGTTCGCCGTGCCCGTGCCCTTCACCTCCAGGTACGTCTTGCTCTGGATCTCGTCGTAGGTCAGCCTCTTGGGCGTGCCCTCCGCGCTCGCGCCCTGCACACACCACACACACGCGTGTCATTGACATCAACTTCGATCGATCTCGAGAAGCAGGCAGCTGGGAAGCTTGCTGATAATGCGTGCTTACCGAGACGAGGAGCGCCGAGGTGGCGAGCGCGAAGCCGGCGAGCTTGGCGGCGTCGACGCACTTGCTGGCGACGTCCCTGAAGTCGGACTGGAGGGAGCACGTGATCCTGGCGGCGCCGGCGTCGACGCCGAACGCCCTGGCGAGGTGCGAGGACGGGCGGGACGGCAGCGAGGCGGAGGGCGCCCGGCCGCCGATCTTGGCTGGCTGCATCAAGGTGGCCGCGGCTTGGAGCGAGGCTGCCATCGTCGTCGACGCGGCGGCGGTGTTGCCTTTTTTCCCTCTGGTGGGTGCGTGTCGTGAAGGGCGTTTTGTGAGGGCGGGAGAGTTCGTTATCTACGCGCAGCTGAGCGGAGGCCACAGACGGAGGATAAGAGCAGCGGATAAGGGGTCTCCTCCCATTGGTGACTTGGGGCTATGGTGATGCCGAGTGCACACGTGGCATGCCCAGGTGCCACTCCTCGCTGGCACCTGTGGTCGTGCTGGCTGTTTTTGGTTTGTAGGGACCACCGGAGTCTCCGCCGCCTAATCTCCATGGTCAGACCATGGTATACAGTTTTTAGTGGAACAAATAAAGTTTATTTCTTCAATCACTGATATGTTACTCTTGTGTTGTCAATACTACTGGTACCAAGCACCAGTTGGAGGGTAACATTTTGGTGAACAACGCAATCGGGATGCCAAATGACAGAACCAGTTGCAAAACTTGTTAAGCATTTTAGCAATTTATTTCTTGTATCAGCCAAGGTCAATAGCTAAATTATCATTTCTGAAGTTTCTGCCTCACACATTATGGGGCCAAAAATTCATGAAAAGAACCATCTTAAATCCCTTCTCTTTGAAGGGCTTCTCCTCTTTTTGCACCTTTCTTATATCCCTTCTCTTTTAAGGGCTTCTCCTCTTTTTGCACCTTTCTTAACTTTGCACTTTTCTTTGATAGTATCTCCTGTTGCAACACTGATATGTTTGAAACAATTAGGTTAGAACCCATCAGACAATGTGACGCCTAAAAGTATATAGATAGTTAAAGATTCCTAAAGGTTAAAGAAAGAAAGAAACCGCGCTTTCTATTATTTACTAAATCATACTGATTTTCCACAAAAGGGATGCAGGGAGACTTAGGTGTGTATGAAAAAAGTAGCCTTTATAAGCTGCACCACATAAATTCATTGGGGCTGTTCGTCTCATTGTTGTGTGAAAAGACGCACCAATTGAATGATCCCCTCTTTTGGTGAACAACGCAATTGGGGGGGTGTCGATCCCTTTTGTTTGAAGGGCTTCTTCTGTTTTTGCACTTTTCTTATCCTCTTTGCAGCCATTAAGTCAAAGATAATTCCTGTTGCAGTCAGATAAGTGACACCTAAAAGTATGCATAGTTAAAAAAAGTTTCTAGTGAAAGCAAAGAAAGTTCATCTTAATCAATGATCTAAATGATGCTAACTTTCAATAATACTAGTACCAGGCACTTACTGAAATCTAGCTTATGATCTAAGACATGGACTACCTACTGTATATTATTACTATACACTAGTGGTCGTGCACGTGTGACACACACGTGTTTATAAAAAAAACATATCATCTAATAAAGAATTATAAATTTCATATATAACAGAGGAATAATCATGAATTCAAAAGTTTAAATTCCTATGATATATTTTTTTCTCCAATCCATGCACATAATTGATGATGGTACAACAAATACAACCGCAATTTGCATTCAAAACACAAGACACTTCAATGATTTTCCCCAGTTTGCATTAAAAATATAGATGCAATGAAAATAGACTTCTTTAGACACAAAGCCACCTGCATTTGTCTCAAATTCGAAACTCTTGATTAAAGTCTAAATTTGATGGTAACATTTTGTGAACAACAACTACACTATTGCTTAGCTAACCCTTTTGAATATTTGAAGTTTCAACTCCTTTTGCACTATTAGATTATCCTCTTTGCAGCTAACGAACTTTGCCCTTTTCTTTGATAGTATCTCCTGTTGCAACCCATCAGATAACGCGACACCTAAAAGTATACATATAGTTAAAAAGGTTCCTAAAGGCTAAAGAAAGAAAGAAAGAAAGCAACCATCCTTTCTATTATTTACTACTAAATGACACTAGCTTTCCACGAAAGGAATGCAAGGAGGCTCACCAAGTTTGTTATTTGTAACATGGGTATGTACAGGCTCGAACTTTCCCTGATCCAGAAACAATTGAGTCTAGCGAGTACCCAATATTAGACAAACAGTACGGAGCAATTGTGCAAATCTACACTGTATTGTGGCTTGATCAAGTGTGAGATAATCACAATTTCTTGAAAAAGAAATTCAATTTCGTGACTGGTGTGCAGAAAGGCAACAACATTTTATAATGCCATACCAACAACCCGATGCGACAAAAATCGGTCGATGTTAAATTTTGGGGGTGGGGATGGAAATATGAAACTGTGATGCGGGAGGAAGCAAGGATCAACACACAGACCTTCTCCTACACTCCGAGGAGGAAGATGGATTGACGGGGATTGGATCGGTGGATATGAGAAGGAATCCTATGTTCCCTCCGTGATCTTGGGATCAAACACGGAAGCCAACAGCATGTTCGGAGCATCCGGACGTTCGATCCAGGCGCTTCTACTGATCCGGATGTTCGCTCCAGAAAAACTCACTGCATCCCTGGTTGAAAATTTACGATCGCTGCGTTTCACGTGAGCAAGCTCACGTCACTCCGTTTCTCACGCATGCGGGATAGGGGTGGGGACAGTGATAAAAACATTGGGATAAGGAGCGGATGTAACGGCAGATATGCGTGTTTCGTACTTTGTATCGTCCCTCACAGGTTCGACTATTATTTTTGTGTACCTCAGATGCAAATTCAAAATACGTCCAACGAAGGAGGATAGGGGTGGGTAGAAAGCTTTTGGGTAACAAATTATTTTCTAATTCCTTTGCTCATTTATAGTATCAATATAGATAGATTTTTTGCATATATATAGTTTATACATGTATTGTCTTTTAGAGAGAGAGAGAAAAAAAACTAAAGTAATATTTTTTTTAGAGGAAAGCTAATATGATGAATATCCTGTTAAGAATTCAGCTCAAAACATACATTCTCCTACTAATTTTTCTCCCCACCCTGCGATCCAATAACGGCCCAACTTCTCCCCCATCAGGCGTCCAGGAACATCCGCACTACACATCGGCCCCGGCCCGCTCAGACGCTCCTTCTCTGCTCTCTCCCGTTTTCCCCAAACCCTAGCGGGTCGGTGCCGCGGCTCGCCTGGGCGGCTGCAGGCAGAGGGCGGACTCTGGCTCCGGCGTCGACGGGCGGCGAGCAGCGTGCGCAGGGGCCGGGGGCGCCGCAGGGACGCGGGGCTCTGCAACCTACGACTCCGAGGCTGCGAAGCTCCGAGCGCAAGGCGGCGAGGGCAGCAACTCCGTGGGGTGCAGGGTGCGGGGCGGTCCCAACGCCGCAGCGCGCTTGTGTGTACCGGTGTAGGGTACGGGCGTCGGGCCTACGGGGCTGCAGGGACCGGCCGGCGTCCAGCACGCTTGTCTCAGGATGGCCCTGCAGAACTTTATTAAGCAAGCTGTAGGTTCCGTCATCGGGAGGAACGAGGTATTGAATAAATACTACACCTACAAGACAATTATATAGTTTCAGCAAAATTTCAAGGTCATTGTTCTGTCATTTTGGTGCAGTGGGCGGGCAAGATGGTCCCATTGTGTGCATCGGGGACACCATCACACCGAGGATGCAGTGTTGCAGCAGAACCGTGCTACAAGGTTAGTGTTCATAATGCATATTGCTGATCATTTTTTCAGGTAGCTTATGATTTTTCTTAACATGTTTATTTGTTTGTATTAGTCATTTAGGAATTTCAAGAGAAGTGGAAGACAAATATGGTTTCAGGACCATGTTGGAGACCAGCAAGGGAACAACATTAGTCAAGCATGCAGCGACCACAGATGCTTCTTGCTCCAAGGATACTGAGTCATCGGATGACCTGATTGTTAAGCAACGCGTGCTAATCCAACAGCTTGTAGAGAAGACTCAAGGAATGACACAGAAAATGGTTGGAGCGGGTCATACATCAGCTTGACGCCGATCATCAGGGAAATGTAGAAGTGTTGGATGTTGCCAAGGTACATATATGTGGCATATACACACACTAAAACTGCTCTACATATTACCTCTGAGTAGGTTTCTAGAAATCTATTATCTACTTAGGGGTGTGGACCGCTAAAAAGCTCCTCTTCTTAAACCCCAAATTCTGTACACTCTTGGACCTCTGATTCGAAACTGCTTACGTGATTCCTAAACGACTGTTTTGTTGTAGGATTTCTTCGACTCTTTCAAACCCACTAGAGCAGCAAACGGCGCCATTGAATTTTTTTCAGAAGATGACGAGGATATTGTTCAGAGGATAAATCACATGAAGGTACATTGAATGAATTTGTCACTGCTTGTCATATCAATCAGTCCTAATTCTTGTTTTTTCTATTGTTCCAGGATTTCTTTAGCTATTTTATCCCTTCTGACCGTGTGAAGTCTAAGGGCATGGGCAAAGTGGCTTAGATAGTCTCTTAAAGACACAGAATATATCCTACATCATCAAGCATCTACTGATCGACAATGGAGAAGTTCCTTGTTAACCTTTAATTAGTTTGAAACCTCAGCAACCTATTTTGGCGCTCATTTACCACAACGCTGAACATGCGGGTGTAGGCGCTTGTGGCGCTTGTGGGGCAGGCCAGGGGCATTGGCGCTTGTGGCGCCCGACGAGCATCGCTGCCTAGTCAAGTACTCAAGTGTCAATATGTCCGCCAAACGGACTTAACTTCCCTTAAGCCCCTGCCACGTAATAGCGTTGTAAAGGCCATAAGTGAAGGGTATAACTGGAGTTTTGTAACCACTATTGTACTGTTTTCAGCAATTCCTAATGATGATTGTACTAAAATCCCTCCTGACCGTGTGAAGTTTTGTTAACCACTGTTGTACTGAGGGAGCTTTGTAACAACAGCCATTGTGGCCACTGCCATTAAGGCCAAAAGCTACTATTGTTTCAAGTTTCCGCTTGGAAAAACAGGAATCCGTGGAAAACAAAATGAATCCACGTAAAAGAAATCAGTTTTCAAAAGGAATCCATGTCAAAACTAGTTTTCCATGTCCAAAAACAGGAATCCGCATGAAAAAAAAAAGAGCTGCTCCTTTTTTTTTGGTTGTCAAAAAAAGGTTTTTTAACACCCCTTTATATTTCGAATACCCAAGCTTAAAATACTTGGCCGACACTGTCTGAACTATGTAATTGCTGTAAGTTTGGGACGTTCCAAAGTAATGAAACAAAATAGCACAATCTGAAGGATCTGAAGAGCCTCACAAGTACATGTTCCTGAATTGTAGCAAAGCTGCTTTACATGAACATCATCTAAAAACAGAGATAGCAGTTGTCCATACAAGATAGACCACTCGACTATAGCAGGACGGACTGCGGAGTTAAAAATTGAGAACTGATCCTAGCAAAGATCATCTCTGACAATTCCTCTTTCTACGTAGACACTTCCTCTTCCTACAGAACATCTACTGGTTGACTTTACCCTACAATGAATTTTTAAACCAAAACAGATCATATCATAACTTGTGGAAAATATATTAAATTCAGTGATGATTCTACTATAAAAATAACAATAAGCCAAGAATTACACACAAAGAGTAGCACTCATCAGAATCTTCATGATACCCAAGCCTTCAGCTTCGATCAAATTCAGTACTCCAACAATCAGAAGTTCATGGCCTGATGTGAGTAGGTTCAAAGGCTCAGAGGCAACGCTAATATGAAGTATTATTTACCCACCGAGAATCATGTCTTGCTCTGCTTCAATGTAAAACCATAACACTGGTTCCAAGTTTTCAAACATCACATTTTCTGAGTAATAAAACATAGCGATTACATGCAAAGACTTTTGTCTTGTTCTTGGCACCATCTTCAAGGACATCTATGTCTACACCAAATTGACATGCTGATTCAATCAAGTGTATATGATGCACAATTTATAATAAGCTGGTGTTTGCAAAGAAAAAGATCCATATAGATTTCAGTAATGTACACCTGTATCATCAATTGTGCATTAACCAAAGTTGACATCAAACGAAAATCAATTGCCCACTCAATGTTATGTCTTCATCCAAATTCAGTTCAGGAGATTTTTTTTTTCAGAAACTATACATTTGGCAGATTTCAGGAGACTATACATTCCGCAAGCTGAAATCAGAAACATTAATCCCATATTTTTCTCCCAGCATATCAGACACACCCAATGTCAGTTCCATACGTGCTTCAGATAAGCGAATGCTCATTACTGAGCATATACTAACAAAGATGTGCTTCAGAGAAGATTGAATACTCGTTAATGCATATATTAACAGACATGTGTAGTATATCACGAAAAAAGTGTACCAATCTAGAGTTGGATATAGGTCTTCACTTTAGAAACTTCACTTGTGAAATGCATACGGCATTCAGCATACCAGGAAAACGTTTAGCACCAACCATTGTAACCACACGTCTACACCAGATAGGACAAGGAAAGGGCATTCTGAAACTTCCTGCATACTCACTGATCTCTACAAATATTACAAAGCAACATAAATGTTGACCAGATACTCATATGTGGACAGTTTCAAAAGCCAGATACTTTTTTTACAATACAAATAACATTTCACTATAAATATAATCACAAAAAATCGCACACTACATTTTTTTCTCTCCATGTGAACCTAATTATTTCTACCTGCACTAAGATATTAAACTAATTTTACATGAGATCAGAACTGAGATACCCATTCAAGCATTTACAACTCTGTTAGATTTATAAGTTCACACAAATGAGATGGATCAATAGTCCCAAGAATCTAGACACATCAACCATACATTGTTCCCCTTCCTTGATTCAGCGATAGATGAACCAAAGAAAACCAGTTATTTGTGTTCAGTTGACACTTTGCAGCTTTGTTCTGTGACTTGTCAATTCTCATAAATAAATTTATACACATAAGCGCATATTATTCGTCGTTTCACTTTGATGGCTCATCGCTGCAACTGCAAGTCTTCTCGGCACACCACTTATGCTTCTATGTGGTAGGCGAGAAACCATGTTGTAGTTCGTGTTTGTCACGGCTAGTAAATTCAGACTTCTAACAAATACAGACCAGGCTATATAATTTTTGCACTGGTCTGCTCTTCATAAAAATGTTTGGTCTGCTGTCAGAAAAGAACAATTTGCTAAGATCAATTTACTAAGTATGAAATATAAATCAAGGCAATATAGTTGTGAGAATATCCGGATCTATTTTTGAAACATCCAGATGCAATATTTGCAACATACAAAAAAAGACAAATGAAACGCTTAAAACGTACATACGTCTGAAACACTTAAAATGTACAGGCGTCTAAAACACTTGCAAAAACACATAAAAACACTTAAAACCATTGCAAAACATACGCAACATACAGAGAAGACACTCGCAACATATGTTTGAAATATATGTAACATCATGAAACATTGGGAAAGACGCTTGCAACATATCTCTGAAATACTTGTAACATATGTAATATCCCGATCTACTTTTGCAACATCCAAATAACATATCTGAAACACTTAAAACATACGCTTGCAACACAATGTCACCTTGCTGCTGGACGAATGGACGCGGAGGTCGGCGGCGGCACATGGACCTCGCCGATGCAGCAGCGGCGCGGCCATCCTATGATTCTCCAATGCCTGCTCATGGCTCATGCTCGCGCCCATGGGCGGCGGCCCTGTTGTTGTTACTCTAGTGTCGTTGCTTGCTCGGCCATAGTCGTCCAACGCCGTCCGCTCGTGGGGGATGGAGCGTGGTGGGAGGAAGGGCACGGCGTGAATGAGGACAGGGCGCGGTTGGGGAAAGGGCCGCGACGGACCAGACAAATGAGCAACCAAGCCGTGATGGTGGAGATTTTTTTATTATTTTTGAGAGAGGCCAGTTGCTATGGACTGCCTGCCGTGTACACTCGGGACGGACACACGCGGCTGAGCATTCCCGAAGGGAAAAAGACTACTCACTTCGTCTAGAAAAGAACATAATTATAAAAAACGCGTCGGTCAAACTAGCTCAAATTTAATCAAATTTATAAAAAATAATATTAGCATTTATATCTCTAAATAAATTTATTATGAAAATGTATTCTATAACTAATTTGATGATATTTATTTTGTTTTATAAGTGTTAGTACTTTTTTTTTTTATATAATTCTAGTCAAAGTTTAATTGGTTTGACTCGTTAGCACGTGAGAATTGTATTTTCTGTGTGGACGGAGGAGCAGGTGCCCAGTCACTCGGGGACCGAGCCGTAGCTCGGTTGGTGAGCGCTTCGGGTGCGGACGCCACCGATCGTGTGTTCGAGCTTGCTCGGCGCGTGATTTCCCACCGGGATTTTTCCTAAAAAATAAATATCAGCAGCCTCTCTCATGGGGAGCCACAATAAAATTGCGACGTGCTCGTCGTCTACGAAGTCATGGATAGTCTTGGTGATTCTAAGAAGAACGCGCTTGTTATCTATGTGTAGTTGTAGATCTAGATGTGCATAAGTGGTGTGTGGTGTTGTGCGTGCGTAACATGTGTGTATACGTGTATGAATACATGCTACAGCTGTACCCGAGGCTAAAAAAAAAAGGTGCCCAGTCACCCCGTGGCAGAGGCAGCACCAATGCGCCGGACCCAAGCAAGGACAGACATGCCATGCCGGAGGGAATCTCTCTGCAGCGCTGCCCGGCGCGGCGGCCCACACCAACCTCTCTCTGTCTTTTTTTTTTCTTTTTTTCCTGACCGCGTCACACGGTCACCACTCACCAGGCAGGCACTGCTGCCCTTTTGCTGTTTGCTCATCAACAACTTGTAGTGCCAGGCTCTAAAAAAACTTAAAAAAAAAAGCCTCGCACTCGCACCGTTCCGTTCCGTTCCGTTCCGTTCCGTACCGTGTTTTCACATGGTCCCTGCACCTGCCCTGTCCGGACTAATTTTTTACAATTTAACTCTTTTTTTTAAGAAAATTTACGTTTAGCTCCTGAGAGATTTAAACTTATCTTTGGACCCATAGGATCGGCGCCAGGAATCATGGTGCCGAGGTAACATGTCTCGGCGCCACAAATCTTGGCGCCGAGGTGCCTGGCCGAGCACAGCAAGCCATCCTAGGTGGCGTTCACATGGCTGGCACCTCGGCGCCACAGATCTTGGCGCCGAGCTCATGTGGTTGACACATCGGCGCCACAGATCTTGACGCCGAGTATTGATTCAAAACCCGCGGCCGCAACTCTCTCTCTCGCGCGCTCTGTCTCTGCCTCCTGCGCCGCCGTCTCCCGCAGCTTTGCATGCGCCTCCTGCGCCGCCGTCAACTCACCGGCGGCCGAGCCTCCTCCCTGCGCCCCCTCCCTTTCCGCGCAAGCGCCGCAGCAGGCCGCCGCCGCGCCCCCGTCTCCGTGCGAAGGTCGGCCGCCCTCGTCGCCCCTTCCGTCCTCCTCTCTAGGGCCACAAAGATGAGGA